ATATTATATTATATTATATTATATTATTCCAACTTTGACTGATTCTAAAGGCGCTCTATATATTATATTATATGAGATTATATAAAATTATAGAATAAAGTTGCCTAATATGAGATACCTTTTTTTAAAGATTTGTAATTTGCAATCTTAATTCGTGTCAATTTTATCGGAAATATATTCAAGATTTACCATCAAAAGTTAACTACCGATAATAGCTATACTTTGTTGTATGTGAAATTTTTTTATCGAAAGTGCCAATTTTGCTCATTCAAAAAAAGGGTTCCTAATATGAGGTACAAAGTTTTCTTGTATCTCATAACAAAAAACTAAGAAAAAAATAAAGATAAGCTTTTATATATTATGCTTTTATTATACGCTTTTATTATATTACAAGTAGGAACAAAGAATTTGAATGTTATACATAATAATTATATAATTTTTCGATGTGTGTGTATGTGAGTACGTGTGTATGTGAGTAATCTTAACAATAGAATCATCATTTTTTATTTTGTTCAATAGTATGCTTTGAGATATTAAATTGTTTAGATACTCTTATATTAGCTAGGAACTCTAAGTATCTCATATTACGACTTCCATGCTTTGCGGTTTCACCAAATCTAATCTTTATAGTTAAACAAATCATTATATCACGTGTTTTCTTTTAACAACCTTACTTTATCACTGCATGCAGTTTACTTTATTACAAATATTTATTTATTATATAATAAAACAAGGTTTGAAAACTAACTTCAATAAAATTCGATAACATCCAATTTCAAGAATCTTTTTTCACTATTACTGATTTAATAATGAGTTTTCTACTAAATCTGTTTCACTCTGAGTAATAAGTTCATAATAAAATCAACCATATGTGCTTATTAGTTTAGCAGAAATCCCACTATCTTGGGAACCTATCCCATAATAAGCAATCTTACCCTATATAATTATATAAAAAATATATACAAAAAAATGATGGACATTAGGAGTCAGCACTGGAAATCAATTTCGAAAAAAACTTACAGAAATAACGAAAATTTTACAGGTATAATTTTAAAGTACAACGTTCAAGATGATGGACCCCTACCGCATTGCGGTCATAATTATAACAGGAATGAGTTTTCACGATATTATGTTTTAATTTATTATTATTTATTAATTATTATTTGTGCTGAAAATGGTTCAAAATGAAGTCGAAACATCCTTAAAATTTTCGTTATTTCTATAAGTTTTTTACGCAATTGATTTCCAGCACTGACTCCTAATGCTTATCGTTTTTTGTATATATTTTTATGATTTTAAGTAAAGAAGATCTTTATTAATTGATTCATTGAAATCATTATATTTTATCTTACTTATATAAAAAATTAACATATTTAACGTCATATTCAAATGGCGCTGATAATCAAAATTCTTTCAATTATCAGATGGAGCTATTTTCGGATCTTTAAACAAGAAAAATCGAGTATATGGGCGCAGGTAGGGTTGAATACGGATTTATAAATCGCGAGTCAATCGAGCGACAAGCCCAATGAGAAATGATAATGACAATTTGAAATCATCAAATCGACATCGATTCAATGTCGATTTCATTTCGAAGTCGATTTCATTTCGATGTCATTTCTCACTGGGAATCACTCGACGCCTCTCATATAATTATGAGAAAAATATGTCCATTAAAATATGTCCATTAAAATATCTCATTTCTATAAATAAAATCGTCATTCGGAATCTTTAATCTTTATTTTTTATGCTAGAATTTAATAGCTGGTGTCAAGAACTTTTTAAAACACTGTAAAGTTATTTTTTGTTAAGTATTTTTCGAGTTATAAGGCTTGGAAATCACAATACCAGTGTTAGCATTACATAAGATATCCGATCAACCTCTGGAATGTTGTTCAGGATTATATTTGTCAAGATCAAAGTCACACAATAGAGGTTATACCTTTTATTTTCATTTTTACGAAATGAATTTATGAATTTTTATGGAAATTAATTTATGAAAATAATTTTTAATACAAAAATGAAAATAAGAAGAATAATCTCCAATGGCCTTAATAATGATCTTAACAAATGTTATCCAGGATATGATCCTGAACAATATTCAAAAGGTTTTAGCCATTGATCGGACACGCTAATGTCGGCAGTATTATAACTTTCAAGCCTTATAACTCAAAAAGTACTAAATGAAAAATAACTTTATTACAGTGTTTTGAAAAGCTTTTGACACCAGTTGTTAGATTCTGAAATAAAAAATAGAGTGTTCTATTTTTAAAAAATTTATGTGATCTTGTCTTGATCTTGGCGATGCCATCCAAGATCAAACTAATAAGATCAATAAATAGATCTTTTTAAATTCTATAACTTTTATGTAAAACTTTTTCTATAAAATTTATATTTTATGAGTTATTCAGAGAATGACCGACACTGTATAATTGTAAAGATAATTTTAAAAAATTTTTAAATTTCTATCTTTGGAATTAGAATAAGTGTATGCTGTAGGAAAATAGATTTATAATTATTAGAAAACATACATGTCAATATTAATGGAATAATCGCCTGGAATAATTGATCTCACCGCGTACTTACCAGCTTTGGCAGTCATAAAGCTATCGGTATTGCCTTCGACGTATTTAATAATTGGTACAAGTTCAAATGTGGATGCATAGTTTCCGTTTTTTGTGTCAGAGATTGCTCTTACGAATACAGATCGAAGATCTTCTTCGCCTTTGTGAAAAATTGCTCCTAAAAATGTATTAATAAATGAAAAATTAATTAAAAAATTAATATTATATTAATATTATATATTGTAAAGAATAAACATAAATAAATGTGATGAATTCTTAATTAATAAATTTGTTAGTGATAATTATTTAAGGTAAAAAGATTTGTATAGTATCACAATTAATTTTCTATTATATCTGTAAATAATTATTATATGTATTTATTTTAATAATAGCTAATACTAGTTGATGACTACGTATGAGTTTCCAATTTACATTACGCTTATTAAATCAATATAAGGGTGCGTCTTACAGATTATCAAGCTGAACATCAAGCCGCGAGCCAAGTCTGCGTCCACATTCAAAGATATAGTACATCCACATTTTCGAAATGAATATAGATTCACATCAAATCTTTAAAGGTGGACGCAGGCTGTGCTCGCGGCTCGATATTCGGCTTGATAATCTGCACATTCTTAAGTAACAAGCGCATGTGAACACCGTTAAAAATATTTCTCTTGTGTGCCTTTGTGAATATGATGTAACTAAAAGAGTTGGATAAATTAACTTAACTTTTTTTTTAATTTAGTTAAATTAAAGTTAACAGCCTTGAAAATTTAATTAAAATATAAATTATAATAAAATTAATTGAATTAAAAGTTAAGTTAATAAAAAAAGTAATTAAAAAGTTAAAAGTTAAATTGATTCGAATGAACAACCATAAAAAAAGAAAAAGTTTGACTATTTTACATGATTTTTCCTTTTTTACACCTTATTTATTAAAAAATCTGGTTATTTTTGTTCACAAGTAATGATTATACAATATAAAATTATTAAATTATATACTCATTAGCTTCTCGCATTGTATCTAAGGATTGACTTAAAAAAAATCAAATTAAAAATTAATAGTTATCGATAAAATGTATCTAAATTGAGTTAAAAAGTTAAGAGTCTAAAATATAATTAAGTAAAGTTAAAATTAATTAACTTTTTAACTTTTTAACTTTTATTTTTTTAACTTAGCATTACCTGATTATAACGCCCTGATTATAACGCTCAAAATGCATTACTAATGAACTTTAATTAAAAATTATTTTATTATCAATTTTTTTGCTTTCTTTGTATTAATATATTTTTTTATGTTAAATATGCTTTTTCTGTTTAATTTTAATTATAATTCGACATAGCATTGTTACATATAACGTTTTTTAATACGTAATGACGTAATAAAATTTGTCATAAAAAAGAAGATAACTGATAATTTATATAGTCGATTGTTATTTAATTTTAATATGTGACAGTCGCTAAAAATGGAATGTTATATTAATTCGTTTCAAAATTTTCTTAATTGGTATTTACAAGTTTATTGTACTTTAAATTAATACATTTTTGCTTGAAGTTAATGTAATTAAACGATTTTTTTTGAAAACAAAAATTCGAGAAATAATATTATGTGACTTAAAATTATGTAAGGTTATGAAAAAAATATTTGTTATAAACAATTTTTCACAATAGTTGAAAGAAATGCAAATACTGATTTAGTTTAAAATGCTATTTATATTTATGTAGCTATCAATAGAGTAGATTATCATAGAGATTTTGGTCTTCGCTAATTCCGTCATTAAATGATTCTTTTGAACATAATACGCAAAATTTCCACACATTAGCAATATTTTTTAAAATTTATTAATTTTGTAAAAAAGAATCAGTTCTTACCGATTTTTATCGGTCGCATCTGACCGTGGATACACAATGTTGTCACTAACAAAACTGATGTAACCGAAAACAGACACTGTCGTGGATCCATTTTAATAAATAAATGTAAAATACAAAGGTGAATTTATTCGATAAAATATATTGAGTGTGTTAATTAAGATATAAACAGTATAATATGATGCGATGTCAAATACGCGTGTGCATTTGTATGTCACGCTTCGTATACTGCGTAATACTTTAAATAATTAACATATAAAAGCTAGAATAGATATATAAAATGGATTAATTTCAGATTTTTTTATCGTGTGTAGGTAATTCCTGCTTTTTTTCCCCTTTGAATGACACAAGCTAATTCTTTGTTTTTATTTTTTAGCTTTTTTAAATTTTAGCAGTTAATTGTTAAGTGGGTAATGCTACATCATTATCCAATCGATGCAGTTTAGTGATATTACTATTTTGATTTCAGTTTATAGTTGTTTTAAATCTGACAGTAAGTTGCGCGCAGTTTACATAGATAAAAAATGTATTTAGAATCAAAAAATACTATTAGGCATTTGTCAAAATCTTACCTCGATTGTATTGCCATTTTCTAACTTATTTCATTTATAAAGTTTTATTTTTATTTTTATTTGAATATATGCTTACAATACAGAAATAAAACTCTAAAATAAAACTCTAAAATAAAACTCTAAAATATCAAGTTCTCTTTATCTTTAAAAATAAAAATTTACATCGAAAAATTATGTTGTCAATTCTCAAGTATGCTTTTAGTGAGGACCTCTTGAACGATTTGATTGAAGTTTAAATATCTACAGTCGATGAAGCAAATTTCATTTCTGCTTGTCGGCGAACTGTTGTAAAAGATTTTATAAAGTGGCACCGTAAACATTTTAAAATAATAAATATTACAGAAGTTGCGCATAAAAAGCGAATATTTGGGTAAAAACTATTTATCCCAAGTAACTAACGAGAATCATCCTCTAATTCAATCACTACAAAGACATATGGTTTAAGAATTTTAATTTAGATAGGAGGTCGGTAGTCACTATTAACAAGCTCTGATGCAATCCTCACTTAGAGCAAGCCTCAGATTTGAGTCGTGGATTATCCCTTCTGTCTCAAGTGCGGAAAAATAAAGATGATAAATCATGTTTTTTTGAAAATGCGAGGCCTAGAAAAGAAAACGTCGAATTTTGACTAAGGCTTTAACTAGGAATGTCTCCCTTACCTTATAGATATATTTTAGTTATCTTAAACAAAAGTATTATAATAAAATAGATAAAGAGAGATACAATAAATCGAAACAATTTTAAGGTCGGTAGTCGAGTCTTATTTCAAGACCAGAAATACCATTATAATGTATTATTTATTTTATAAAATCTAAAGCAAAATTATAAAAATTAAAAATTTATATATAAATAAATATAATATGGCTCAATTAGAATAAATCAATATAAATAAATAGAAGAATAAATAGACTATGAGCCAGTTAAAAATAAATTAAGAACATTTAATATTCAAAAATAAATATAAAGAAATACAATAACAAACGTTTCGACGCCGATCAGGTGATTCTCAATATTAAAACAAATTTTAAAAATTAATTTCGTTTTAACATTAATAATTATTTATTCTAATTGAGCGATGTTATATTTATTTATATATAAATTTTTAAT